TGTGTATGTGGGTACACGCCTATATGCATGTATATGGATAAATGTGTATGCGGGTACACGCCTATATGCATGTATATGGATAAATGTGTATGGGTACATATATGCATGTATATGGATAAATGTGTATGCGGGTACACGCCTATATGCATGTATATGGATAAATGTGTATGCGGGTACACGCCTATATGCATGTATATGGATAAATGTGTATGCGGGTACACGCCTATATGCATGTATATGGATAAATGTGTATGCGGGTACACGCCTATATGCATGTATATGGATAAATGTGTATGCGGGTACACGCCTATATGCATGTATATGGATATGTTATTGTGTATGTGTGTATACGCATGTGTTTTTGAACATAAAAATATAGGTCCTTGCTAGATTAGATAATCGTTATATTTATTTTTTATATGTTTATTTGATTTGTAAGCTGTAGTCGATATTAATTTTCTCAAATTTTCTTAATTACACAGCGGCCCTTTCAGTAAATCCCCTTCAGTTTTAGTTTCCCCACCCCTTTTTCTTTTCTTTTCTTTTCCTCTCCCTCCATCTTCTTCTGATATTTAAGATTAGATCGTCTATTGTGTGTCTATGTCATCACAAAATGTATCCTTTCCGGTTACATTTTTAATGTCTTAGACATCCGAGAACATTCATGTTTCTCTCACTTAAACCGTCTTTGACTCCCCTCTTTAAAAGTTCTTTCTGTTAAATTTTAATCTCCCACCTTCTCTCGTCTGTTACCCCTCTCTTTAGCTGTAACATTCGTCCTACACTCTCACACTTACACTCTCTCTAAATTCTATTTTTATTTCCGGAGTTGTTTTTTCTGTTTTCTTTTTGAATTTGTAGGTCTGATGAATTAGACCGTATTTACGATTAAAATGTAAGCGCTCAATTAAATGTTTTTTTTCTTTTTGCCTATTGCTCATAAATAATTTTAAATAGTTCTACGTTATACTTTAAATCGGTATTTTCTTCCTGAGGTTTTTGGACTATTTTCCTTCAAAATATTACATCATACTCCTTTAATCTCTTTATATGACACTGCCCCGTACTTTTTAAAATTATTTTTAAACAGAAGTATTACTTGTCCTACAGGAGCTACATTGTTCGAAATATAGTTTATAATCCTTTCACTTTCAGTTTCATTTTAGCCTTTCCATTCTATCTTGACCTGATGGAAAATTAAATGAGAAGATTATAAATTTAAAATCATATTCGCTCTCAAATATAGGCAAATTTCACAGAACAAATTGAAATTCCTGCTGAATCGTTAAAAACTATGAACTAATTCACTCATTTTTTAATCGTTTCACCTCAAGCAAGGCAATGAAGCCACTAAGACTTAAAGTTGCACTAGGGAGAGAGGACAATAAAAGAACAGGAATTAAGAAGACAGAAGATAATGACTGATATTGCATTTAAAACGTTGTAGAACAAAGTTGACTCAAAAGTAAGAAGAGTTCTACAAGTGAGAAGTGCAAGGGAAGAAACTGTTTGTATAGAACTTACGATTGCATCTAACCATTTCAACTGTAAAATGACGAGAGCTTGCTGCCAATCTAGCTGTTTGTTTAAATTCTAGATACCAAAGACGAAAGCTCATCAGAACAAATAAAATATTTATACAAAAGATACAGAGAAACTATATTACGGAGGTAGAGAAAGCGACTGAAGTCGAAATGCCAAGCAATAATATTGATATATATTTTGGAATTCTTCATAAAATAGTAAGAATAATCGGCCAGACCAGATGTGACAGCAATATTCAATACTGAATCCTCAATAAGGAATGGTAGATTTATAAATGTATATGATAGATTCTGGCGAGAAAATTTGTCTAGCACGACACAGTGAATCAACTTTCCTAGTTCTAGACCGAGCAGTTGATTCAATCTTCCTTTTTTTAAAAAAAAAAATCAAATACAAAAAAGTATTCATGTAAAAAAAAAAAAAAAAAATCGAGTCAAAACAAAATAAATAATTTTCTATTCTTGTTTGTATGTTTTTCTTATTCTTTTGTTTCATTCTTGTTTTTTTTTTTCCTATATTTGGTCTGCTTTCACTCTTGTATTTTCTTCACTTTCCCCGCTCTCTTCATCTTTCAGTCTTATCAATTCTTTCCCTGCCCCCAGTTTCCTAACACCTGTTCTCCGCCGGCGCTGTTAAAACCTTTATCGTCAACATTCTAAATAGGTAATAGAACCTGCTCCTACCACCCCCGCTGCATTTTGCTGCTTGCCTAAGTGACCCATAATAACAAGAGCAGATTGGAAAGCCATTGACTCCTGTAGATTAAATGACTGTTTCTTGGGTAACTACAGAAAATAGATCAAACTACCACACCTGAGCTACACTGAGATATCAACTCGAAACTCAGTAAAATCAATACGTTCAAACAATATCCCATGACGGCCTATTGATATTCAATTATTTTCTTTTTGAGAGAAAGTGCATTTTGCTGAAGTATTCGTGTGTTGCTTTAATATAACTTCGCTCACCTCACGATGATGCATATATATTTTTAGAGGAACTAAAAGCACAAAAATAATTAAAAAGTTTGATCCACTTTTTGGCTAAATAAATCGAACCGCTAAACACAAATATATACAAACCTCTATTTTTGCTTTTTGAAGTATGCCAAAGATTGCGCCATCAGGATCAGATTATTTACAAGGGAATTAAGAATAGAATCATTGACAGTGATATTTTTTGTCATATCTATTTCAGAATTTGAAAGTAATAGTTGTAAATGTTTTCCTCATTAAAATCTATCTTGTATATAAATCTATAATTTTTCCATGCATTGAATACTACTGCCATGTCTGGTCGCCAGCTGTACATTTCGAGATTCTTGACAAAATTCAAAGAATAGTCTAATGTAATCGATCCTGACTTGGCATCTCGTCTTCAGCCATTTTCTCACCGACACAACGTGGCTTCCCGCTGTCATTAATAGTAACTGTTGTGATTTCTTAATGCCTCGATTAAATAAATTTAAGTGAATGACTAGATTGGTGACTTGGTCTCACAAATTTACCGTTCAACTAGCTAAATGCAACCGCCTTTCCTATTCTAACGCTATTCTTTTCTCGCATTTCTCACCTGTGGAACTCCCTTTCAATTTCTTCTTTTCCGGCCACCTACAATTTTCAAAAGTTTAAATGGAATGTCCATGGCTAGCCTTTGTCTTCTCGAATCCTGTTTCTTCATTGTACTTTCCACACTAGTGTCTTCTCATTCTCTTTCACTCCCTATAACCCCTATGTCCTAGTGGCATTATCGCCTTGCCTTGGGTGAAATGATTTTTTTAAAGGATTTAATTCATGGTTATTTACATTAGATCACTTTTTCACTCTATATCGCCTTGCTTCCGCTTAAAATTTGTGATTTATATTCCAAACTGAATTTCAGAAATTCTGTAAAGCATTAATTTCCTGTTGAATGTTGAAGAGATATTTTTATTCCTTTTCACAATAAGTTAATTTTAAATAGTGTTCATTTTAATCCCATAAACAGGGCAGTGAGTATCATTAGAGGGCTTCAGTGTACCTTCGGTTAGGTACAAGGCCACAAGGATGGAGTTGTCAGTGGGGATCTAACTCGTAACTTATGGCATGCAGATTTCTAAGCTTATGTTTTGCTAAAAACGTTTGACCAAGGTATTACAGGAATTTCGGAGTCGTAAGCAATCTTGGTGATTACACTGTTCAATATCGTAAGATAGAATAATAATAATGATGATAATGATAATAATAATGATGATGATGATAATAATAATAATGAGATGAAGAATAATAATAATAATTTACTTATGCCGACTGTGAGATTTGCATAGTTTAAAATGAACGCCTTTAGAGACGAATGTATTTTTTATATTTCGTATATATAGAATCCAGGGTGTTTTTTCTCGTGTTATTTTTTGAATAATAGAAATAAAACTAATGACCTGATGACTAGACTTCAGAATCTGTGAAACTCCTAGCAGAGATAAATAAACATCACTTGAAGACTTTTAGCAACATTAAAAACTAAAATGTATAACACATGTAACTCGAAGAGGAAATAATTGTATAATGAAGACGTTGACATTCAACAGTGTTTAGAATAAATTGGTCAGAAAAGACCCAATCAGTAGCGTAAAAGCGGTAACAGCTATTGGACTTGAGGAACTGATTTTCCTGAAAGATTGTTTTAATAGACATACATTATAAATCCTACCCGACAGTATCATTGGCTGTTCGGTCAATGACTGTTAAATGTTTTCTTATAAGGAAACGGCTGATATTACCAGACACACACACACATATATATATATATATATATATATGTGTGTGTATATATATATATATATATAACAAAATGTAGTTTATTTTTATATAATCTCCTTTAAGATATCTCTTAATTTCACGCTTCGTTTCTGTAACCTTTCTACAGGTAAATCGTTATAAAATTTCGGTGATTAGCATTTACGAATTAAGTTTGTATTACGCATTAAGAAATAATATAATTTTAAAGGCATTAAGCTTTTAATAACATGAATCCGGGATGTAATGTCGAATATATAATGTATTAAACCGAACTAGAAAAATATTTATTCCGTTATGATAATCGAATCGAGAAAATTACAGAAGGAAATAATTCTTCTGTTCGTACGCCTTTTGGCTGCCAAATTTTTATTCTTTCTCTTTTAGCCAACGTTTTTTTTAACTTGTATTTTATACAATTTAATAGTCTATTTTTAAGAGTAATTTTCTTTCAGCAATTTAAACCTAAGAAGAGAAAAAAAATTAAATTTTATCATTTCCAGATTTACCTGGTCGTCATGACATTCATTCCCAGAGATGAAATGAAAAGTATGAATTTAATGAAAAAATATAATTTTATAAATCAAATCTCGGAAAACTTAAGAAAAAAAATTCAACTGGAAAGCCTTAACTCTGAAGACGTGACAAATCGCATATTTCAAAAATGGAGATGATGAATAGTTTTTTTTTTCTTTAATTCCTTCATTTTTTCTTTTCTATTTCCACTTTGCTTTCTGTTTCCACTTATTTTCTTTAAATTCTTATCTTCTTTCCTTTTGCTTTCTTAATTTTTACATATTTCTTTTTGCTTTTGTTCCTCTCTCTCTCTTTCTCCTATTTTCATGTTTTGTTTTCTTTTATTCATTTTTTTTTCACTCATTGATACATTCTTTTTCACTTTCGTTTCATTATTTTTTTCTCACTTTCATTTTTATTAAATTTCTTCCTTTTTATGACGGTTACATTATTTTTTTTCCCATTTCTTTTTAAAATTTTTCTCCGTTTTGTTTCCCATTACATACTTTCGTTCGTTTATTGTTCATTTCTTTTAAGTCATACCTATTTTTCTTTCGCAGTTTTCTTTGTTCTTTACTCATCCGTCCTTTTTTCACTCATGTTTTATTTTCTTTCTTACCTTTGCCATTTCTTTCTTTTTTTCTCCTTTTTTCCTTTGTCCTTTTTTTCTTTTATGCCTTTGGCCTTTTTTTTCTTTTATGCCTTTGGCCTTTTTTTCTTTTATGCCTTCATTTGATTTGTCATTCGCATTTTTCCTTTACGTCTTTCGCCTTCTTTTTTCCTTTACGTCTTTCTCCTCCTTTTTTCCACGATTTCTTTCTCTTTTAAATTTTATTTCATTTTTTCTTCACTATTGTGTTAATTTCACTTTCTTTTCCTTTTTAATTCGTCCTTTTCTTTTTTCTTCTTCATTCTTTCTATTTTCCATTGTTTTTGGTTTCTTCTTTTATTTCCTTTTTTGTTCGTTTTCTACTTCCTCGTTCATTTCTTTTTTTTTTTTTCGTCATTCTATGCTTTTCTTTTTATGGTTGCTTTTCTTTTCCTTTTTCACTCATTAATTTTTCTTTCAGTTTCTCTCCTTTTTAATTCGTCCATTTTTACTTTTATTAACAGATTCCTTTTTCGCTCCTTCGTTTTTCATTCAATCTTTTCTTCTTTCGCCCTTTTCTATGTTATAATTTTATATTCATGCTTTTTACGTCAATCAATTTTTCATTTTCTTATCTATTTAATAATTTCCGTTTAAATCCGTTTTCTTTTTTCGGTTCTTTCTCTTTCTTTATTTTCTTTTTCATAGATTTTTTTCACCCTTGTTCTTTCATTTCTTCCTCTTCATTATCTTAAATGATTATTTTTTTCTCAATGTAGCATTGTATGTAAATGAGGCACTGCAATAAAATCAGTATGCCACAAGGAATGCTAGTCGAGCAGCCATTCGTTGACCTGACAACGTGTATTCCAAAGAGTACTCTACTTTATAAAAATATGGCGTCGCCGATAGGATTCCTAACCGCGCTGGATGAACCGTAGCACGTCAAAATGTGGATTAGCTGTTTAACAGCGTTGGCTAGGTTAAAGAAACTGAAAGACAAGAAAGCCTCTTGACATGAATTCACCAAAAATTAGGAAGTGATTACACCAAAAAAAAATAATTAGAATCATTTTGGGGATTGAGCAATTTTTATAGCAGATATCTACCTAGAAAGAGCGCCATAATAGAACCAGCTGAAGAATTACGGGCAAAGAATAAAGAATTTAAATGGACTCAAAGGCAAAATATAGCTCTTGAAAGCTTAAAAAAGGCTCTAATAACAGAATCAATTTAAAAAAAAATCATTGATCCAAAAAAAGAAGTGACATTGATTACAGATGCAAGTGCCACAATTTTAACTCAAGAAGGTCATCCAATAATGTACCTATCGAGAAACTTAACGTCAGCTGAAGCTAACTATTCAAATATTGAGAAAGGAGCGTTAGTAATAGTATGAAGTACAGAAAGAACTCGAAATTTTTTGTTCGGACTAAAATTTGTGTTAAAGCCAAATCACAAACCTTGTATATTTAGAGCCAGAAAGAAATTACCAAAAGTCACAGCTAGAATTTTAAGATGGGCTACAAAAATCATGGTCTTTGTTTTCGAGATCATATATATAATTCCACACGTGGATGCGCTATCCAGATTAAATTTCGACAGTAACAAATTAGAAACATCTAAAAATTCAGAAAATAAAATACTGCACTGGATAGGTCCTTGAAGATTAGAACCGCGTAAGACTTGGTGGGGGGTCCCTGCCTTAATGTGAGAAGATCTAGAAGCGCGTTCGTTCAACACAACTTTCATTTCAATCATCGATGTATTGTGAACGATTGGATTTGGCCAAATATTCGTCCCTTAGAACCGTAGCTCTTCATCTTGGGTCGATGGTCAGCAAGCCAAACACGGTCGAAATATCTAGAGCCACAGCCAGAGTTCGCTATTCTTATCTAAAGCATCATAGACTAATTCAGTGGTGGTCGTTCACACGTCAGCGGTAGACTTTGCGAAACGGGGTCGTGCGAAGTAAGATGATTAACTAATTCCAGGAATTTAAAGTTACTTGACCAACAACGAAATAAAACTTTTAAGATAATCGTTTCTGAATTCTCTTAAACTTTCTTTTCCTTGCTTTTCAAGTCAGTTTTATTCCTGTACTTTAATCTTTTCTTATGTCGATTTTGCATGTAAGTTTTCTCTTCAAAGCCGTTTTCATTCACTAGACATCATCTTTTTTCTCCTACTTTTTATATTTGTTCTATTTCTCCTTTGTTCATTTGTTCCTTTTTTTTTTTTTGCTTTCTTGTCCGTTCGTTTTTTTTTTCATTGTTCGTCTTTTCTTTTTCTCCCTCTTCGTTCAATCGACCTTTTCCTCCCTCCTTGTTGAATCCTTCTTTTTCTCCTTCCTCGTTTAATCCTTTTTTTCTCCTTCTTGTTCAATCTTTATTTTTCTCCCTTCCCGTTCAGTCCATCTTTTTCTCCTCCGTATTCAATCCTTCTTTTTCTCCTTCTTGTTCAGTCAGTCCTTCTCCCCCCCTGTGTTCAGTCCTTCTCCCCCCCTGTGTTCAGTCCTTCTCCCCCCCTGTGTTCAGTCCTTCTCCCCCCCCTGTGTTCAGTCCTTCTCCCCCTGTGTTCAGTCCTTCTCCCCCTGTGTTCAGTCCTTCTCCCCCGTGTTCAGTCCTTATTCCCCCGTGTTCAGTCCTTATTTTTTTCCCCCCCCTGTGTTCAATCCATATTTTCCCCCTGTTTCAGTCCTTCTTTTCTCCCCCCGTGTTCAATCCATCTTTTCCTCCTTCCTCGTTCAGTCCTTCTTTTTCTCCCTCCGTGTTCAGTCCTTCTTTTTCTCCCTCCGTGTTCAGTCCTTCTTTTTCTCCCTCCGTGTTCAGTCCTTCTTTTTCTCCCCCCGTGTTCAGTCCTTCTTTTTCTCCTTCCTCGTACGTTCGTTGTTTTATGATTCCTTTTAAATTTGTTCTTTTCCTTCTCCCTTTTACAATTGCTTTTAATTTATTTTAAAATTCTCTTTCCGTTTTTGTTTTTTTTTTTTTTTTTTTTTACTCATTCATTTTTCTCTTTTCTTTTTTTTCATTATTCACATCTTAGACGTCTTATATCTTTGATTTGCTAACATGGTCTTCTGTTTACTTTCATTCTCATTCAATTTAGTTTATCACCGCTCCCCCCAATTAAAAATAACTCACATATGTTTCCCTTTCTGTCTTTAAAATTACTCTGCCCTATTCAGAATATTTTAATTAAGAATGAAATCGTTTATAACACTTTTTCTTCATTCCCACTTTTCATTTTCAATAGACGCTTACATTCTTTTTTTATCTCAATTTTTGTTTATTTTACTCTACATAAAATATGTAGATGGATGCATGTAAATCAGTCAGTCCTTTCTGACCTGTTTGCAGCCATAATTACACAGTCACGCCTATTATGAATTTGCATACAAGCACTGACGATCATCTGCTTTTATGATGTATTTTACTGAAGTGGAATTTCGCCCAAATATTTGGTGAAAAGGTTATATTTTCCCTTTTTATATTCGATAATGTAAAATTTCTTTAAAAACTGCTGTCATTTCCTTTTTTTCTTCTCAATTTAAAATACATTTTATTAAATTTAAAGCTTGACTATAAAGTTGTTAGAATTTTTCGTTTGTTTGCTCGCCGGGAAATGGAGGAAAATACAAAAATATATTGTTTCTCTTCTTTTTCTTTTCACGTTTTCATCTAGTGTTTTCTCGCGGGAAATTGAATCGTCGAGCCTACTTAAACTTCTAGGCTAACCTGCTACGTTCCCTTTCATGCAAGTGCCTTTGGACAGCATGTATCTATTTCTCCTCTCCTCAATGACCCTTATATTTCCGGTGTCGCATTTTCCATCATCTGTTTGTGATTTCGACATTTCTAATTCGTAGCTTCCAGATTCCTAACAACCATACATTGTTTCTTCTTACAGTTAGTCCTTTCTTCTCGCTTTCCTTTATTCTCTTGTCTCCATTGACAAATTATAATGGATTTCATAACGAATTAAGCATAGCTGACACTATTTTTATGCGTCAGCTAATAACTTAGCAATATTTTAATAATTAAATATAAGCTAAATTCACAAAATATATTGCTTATATAAATATGACAAAAGAACATTTCTAAACAACTGTCGGTTACTTACATTGTTTTCATCTTCATCGCCATATTCACAACGTTTCGGCCGTTGTACGCTCTGGTCTTCATCAGGTGATTGGAATTATAGGGTTCGATTGGAAATTGTGAATATGACAATAAAGATGACTATAACAGTCCGAAAATAATGTAAGTAATCATAATACCTCATCTCAGAGATATAGACAGCCATTATATTATTAAAAGCTAGTCATTGAATCTAACCAACGTTTTTATACACTGGGCCAAGTGTCCTTGTGACTATGTCAATAAAGATGAGGATAACAGTCCGAATAAGGTAAATAATATAAGTAATCATAATACCTCATCTCAGAGATATAGACAGAAACTATTGTTTGTTTGATTTTGTTCAGGAACATACCGATCTCTATGGGTTATTTAATGCCGAAATCTAAATATTTTAATGCAATACATCTACAGTTGTTTTGTACATTAAAATTTCAGGGTAGACATATGTTTGTAGATGAAAAAATGTATTGTTGGTATTTTCTTAAAGCATTTCATCCCAAACAAGGCAGGAGTACCACTAGCGTGCAAGAGGTTACAGAGAGTGAAAGTAAGAGTAAAGAGGCGTGTTTAAGGAGAGGATAAGGTTCAAGACATCACAAGATGTCGATAAGACGTTACATTTGAATATTTGAAGATTATAGTTATCAGCGAAGCAAGCAAGAGAAAGGGAGTTTCACTGTCGGGAAGTGAGAGAGAAGCTGTTGGAGTAGAAGAGGCGGTTACATTTAACATGACAGTGAAAGGGTGGGACAGAGATACCAAACTAGTAGCACGCTTAAATTCATGCAGTTGGGGCACTAGTGAAAATATCTCGTCTGAGCGGTTGCCATAAAAATATTTTTAGAAAAGACAGAGGGAAGCTACATCACGTCTGTGAGAAAGTGACCGTAGTTGAGGTGCCAGGACAGGACTTATTACATTGCATATCCGTCTTTGGATTTTGTCGAGAGATTTTAAATGTATTATTGATCATTTTTTATAAAAATCTATTGCTGTTATTTTTATTATAAAAATGCATTTTGATTAGGGCTTCACTATTTGCCCACAGCTGAGACTATATAATAGGTGCTACTAACTCTGATCAAGATCGACGTGGGAACAACAGCAATAAAGCGGTGGTTCCATGTTCCAATCTCCCGGTGAAAGTCTTTGCTGCAAGGTTAATACGAATTTAATCGTAAAAGCATTGACTTCCTTGACAGCCTATATATACTGAAGTACTAGTGTGAAGCAATAAAAACTGCGGCAAGTAACACAAGTTTGAAACCGAGTACATGTTTATACCAATCGTTGAAAGTGATAAATTTTTCAGAATACCTTGGAGACCATATTCCCATGTAAAATGAAGTTATTTTTACTATCTGAATTATAATAGCGAATATAAAATGTCTACAATAGCACTTAAAATTATTACAAAATATTAAAAAAGTTTGAAAAACGGCTTATTCGAAAAAATGTTTGAAAAACGGCTTATAAAACGATTATTCGAAAGCGCTTCGAATCAACACACATTTGGACAATTTACATTCATTAAATACAGAAGAAAATACTTTTCACGCGTAAAATAAAATAAAAACAAAATAAATCCTTAGTTTTGTTTAACATAACATGTATTAAGGAACGCTTATTACCCAAATAAACAACTCTCTCTTTTCTCACTCTCATATATATATATATATATATATAAGCTGTGATATATTTTGTGCGCGTGTCTAATATATATATATATATATATATATATATATATATATATATATATATATATATATATATATATATATATATATATATGTGTGTGTGTGTGTGTGTGTGTGTGTGTGTGTGCTAATACCCTTGGGAAAGATATCAATCCGCTTCTCCCCCACCCCAGCTATGGGTAAAATAGCAGGGCAGACTGGGTTCTATAGCCTTGGATGGCAACTAGTCTAAGAGAAGGACAACTCTGAATTCAAAACTTGCGGAGGGTCGTTTGGAGACCCTGTGGAACACGGTGCACCAGGTCTCTGTATTCGGCCCTTCAAAAAGTGTGGTTGGTTCTGTACAAAGCCTTCACCACTATAATCAAATTATATGTGCAGGTGTCTGGCTGATCATTCCTAGGAAGTGTATTGCTTGACCCTCATACGTTAAAAAACAACGGGAGTGTCCAATATATATATATATATATATATATATATGAAATCTTAACAAAGCTGACGCGTTTCGCCCTCTGGAAGATTTTATTAGGATAAATGATATTTGCCTTGGTAATGTCTACCAGAGAATGAAACACATTGGCTAAGTTTTCCTTTTGTCTTTTTACGGATGTATTTTTATTTACATCTAAATTTTTACACACACACAAACATGATTAATTCAAATACAACATTTGCGACTTAGCTGATTAATGTTATTTTTTTTTTCATTTCTACTTTAGAGTTTTGTAGACGGACCCCCACCAATCGCTCCTTTTAATCGACAAAAGTTGCCAGCAATTGACCCTTTTACTTTTTCATTTTGCGTCACTTTTATGAGTTAAAAATAATTCAGGCACTTTTCATTGGTATAAGCGTGATTTTTTTCCCTCTATAAATAGGGCGAGAGAGAGAGAAAACATTGACACAAACATTCTGTTGTTTCAAGTTACCTGTATGCATATGAATAATATTGTTAGAAATGATTTCCCGAAACCTTTTTTCTTACGGTCGTATAACGTTGAAACACCGGTTTCTATACGACCATCAAAGTTAAGCAACATCGAGCCTGATCTGTACCTAGATGAGTGACCGCTTGCGTATACCAGGTGTGTGTGAGTAGTGTAATAAATAATGGCTCGGAATTGTTAATCTGGGAGCCGAGTTCTCGTTAGGTTCTTTATATTCACTTGAGAAAAGTATGAATCCTCCCAGCTGTGGGTTAAATAGTAAGACGGCTATCACTAAATCAATTCTTAGAATCTAAAAATATTTACAAGCTTTAAATAACCTGAAAATGGTTAGTAAGATCATTTTTTCTCCAATGCAGTTGCACAACAGAAACAGAATGTGTGTATCATTTTTTCCCGTCACGCAAAAAAAAAAAAACCTTCTCTACAGCTTACAAAATCGAGAAAACCTGATGTTGCCAACCCAGTTAACTTAATGACGTATCCCCCTCGTTTCTGGAACCTTACATAGAGGTTACAAAAACTTTTTTTGTAGACGTTCCGCAATTTGATTATTTTTCAATGAAAAAATACGAAAAGAAATTTTCTAGCTTATATATATGTGTGTGTGTGTGAAAATATATAGAAAATAGGAAAGAACTCGTTAGGTAAATAATACAAAGTTCTAGTTAGTTAGTATTTTTGTTATTATTTTTAAAAAATTGTGCTCGATAAAAAAGTAGAGCATAAATATAATTATTTATTTAAAAATGATTCCAACATGCTACATAAGAGGTCTCATGTTTCAAAACAAGAGCCGAAAACTTCAATATAATTATTTGAATTAAAGTAAGCTCTGTTCAAGAAAGAAATAAAATAAAAAAAATAAATAAATCTCAATAGACACGTAAACCAGACTAGGCGAAAACATCTCCCGTTTAAATTTAGACACCCCCAACTTACCCTGACTTGACATCTATGAATGTAACTCTATACTGATACAAATTATTAACACTCAACACCCCTTCCGATTTAAACAATCGATCTGGCTGTTACCATGGAAATTTTGATTTCAATAATGAATATGCTATTCAAACACGTAAATTTCAGAAATAAGTTATTCCAAAAAAATGTCGCTTGAAGATATATTTATTGTTAGTTAAAGAGAAAATATTCTGGTGTCACTAAACCATTACGATATTTTTCAGCAACATAACTTGGCAACTTTACCATAACGCTGTGGTAAAGTTTACATCAGTGTTATAATTACATTAACGTCATATTATTTCTAAACGTAAAAGACAATAGTGAAACTTTATTATTAGCCGATGTGCTTCGTCCAGTGTGGACTTTTTCAAGGCAAGAACGAAATGAATTTATTAAAAACAAAGTAACTATTAATAATAAAACAAAATGTCCTTAGCAACTAGAAGAATTTAGAAAAGACTATTGTATTCATATTGTCAACTGAAAATTACATCAAGTACTGTCACGTGTAGAAATATTGTTTTTATTGTTGTGTTGACGGATTTAACCATTTTCTTTTGATTTCCTGATACAGTTGTGTACGTTTGCTTAGGAGAGTAGTAATTCTGTTAGGAAAGGTTATATTGGGAAAATGCTTGGGCGTAATTTAATATTTGGGTAATATTTGAATCCATCAACACAACAATAAGAACAATATTTCTATGCGTGATAGTACTTGACGTAATTTTCAATAGCGTTTTCTAAATTCTTTTAGTTGCTAAGGACATTTTGTTTTGTTATCCACATTGGACGAAACGCGTCGGCCAATAATACAGTTTTCCTATTGTCTTTTACCTTTATAAATATTGTCTTTTTCTACAGGTTAACTGTGAGAAAATTTTCATTAACCTCACTACAACATCACATACCTCCCAACAAACGTGCTACGCAATAACGTTGCATTTTAGCCTGGGAAAGCGTTACTGGTCACAGTCAAATTTACAATGATTTAGATTTGGTTGATTTTACGTCAGGCCATATTAGATTATTTAAAGTTGAATTTTTGTCTAGGGTGAGGATCAAAATCGCTGTTCAGTTTCAAAAATCAATCAGACAAGCCTTTGTTTTTTTTGGGTTTTTTGGGTTTTTTTAACGCTATTGCATTGAATATTGCTGTCAGATCTGGTATAGTGTTTCTGCTATGTATTTAGAGCTTCTTAATAAAATTCAAAGAATCTGCAGTGTTATTAGCCTGGGCCTGACATATCGACACCAGTAACTTTCCCACCGCCATAACGTTACTTTCCTATATCTTTTCTATAAATATTTTCAGGGTAAATTTTCTGATGTGCTTTCCTCTTTGGTACTTAGACTTTATTAATTTAAGCGCAGTACTAGATTGGCGGATAGGCCTCATCATTATACACTTGAAATGGCTACATGTAACCGAATGTTCTATGCTAACCGTTTCTTTTTTCGTACTTCTCGCTTGTAGAACAGTCTCTGGCTTTCTGCCTTCCACTTAAGTGAGATCTTCAAACATTCGAATGCATTGTCAATCGTTATCTTCTGTCTTCTTAATTCCTGTTCTTTAATTGTTCTCTCTCGTTAATATTTGCTTTTTTTTCATATTTTCTCACATTCAGTAGCCCTTTGCGTTTTCGTGGATTTATTAAAATGATTTTCCAAAAGTCCAGAATGCCACGATTTTAGAACCGTTCAGTTCAGTTTGGCTTGTTATACGGTATATCAAACCGTTATGATTCATTTAATACCAAAGTCTTATTTTCTTGTGAGATTTGGTAATTATTGGGAATTATTCTAATTTACTTTTATATTTTCATGTTTTGACCTCAGTTTATGGGTGCACTATTTGCGCAAAGCTGGGACCATAACAGCTGCTACCATCTTGGGTTTGGGTAGATCTGGAAGCAATTAAGAAGTGGTTCCAAGCTCCTCAAAATCACCCGATCAGAGGACTTGCTGCCGGATGTAGTTTATCGTCATACCCAAAACGAGATCAGTTTAGAACGCTGATTTTAGCATTATCGATTTAAATAAAGCGAACACGTTTTTTTTTTTTTGTTTTTTTTTTTTCACCACGGGTAAACGAAAAACGGTTGAGAGCTGAGAAGTACAGTAAACTAGTTTAGAAAACCAAGCAGACGTGTATTAAATGCGTGGGTTTATTGTCTCTTGCGTTTTTTTTTTTTTTTTTTGTTTTTTTTTTATTCATTAAAAATAAGAACATATATTGGGGTAATATAATTTTTTTCTCTATAAATCAACCTCATGATTATCAGTGTCTTAGAGAGATTTTGAATCAACCTATATATGATATACAGTTAGCCAAAGTATTTTATAAGTCTTTGAAATATATTAATATTTTCTATTTTGATTCTCGATTTGACGACATTTTCATTGTATCCCTAATTTCCTCTCACAAATATATATTGCCTCAAAACTGGTCACGCCCTAATGACGTCTTCTGGTCTCTCTCTCTCTCTATATATATATATATATATATATATATATATATATATATGATGCATGTTTCATTAAATAATATAGACAAGTTTTTTCTATTTATTTTAAGTTCCTTTCATATTGTCTGATAAGCTTAATAACATTATCATTGAAAGACGAAAGGATATCACCATATTGATACATGTTTTAATCCTATCTAAACTTCACAAATATTCTTAAATGCCTATAATTGATAACAGAAGCCAACGTGCATCAATGAAAAATTGCTGCCTAAACACACACACATATATATATATATATATATATATATATATATATGCATTTCATCGATTAAATAAGTTTCCCAAGTTAAAAACTAAGTGACAGAAAAGAATCAGCACTGAAAATTAAATAACCCCTGATGATTTCTTTGTATGAGCAACATTCTCAAACTTTATTTAAATAACATATCACATTCTGTTCCACATTGAAAAAAAATAATTCAACCAATTTTTGTCCTGTCGTATAAACCGATATATATTTTTTTTTTTCAATTTCTTTGTTTCCATTTGATGACTTGTTTTGTTTTTCTTGTTCACTGAATCTTCTTTGCACACTCCATTACCTTGCAAACTTTATACCGGATCTTAGCCTAAATGGTTTTCAAGCGCTCCCACAGATTTAAATACAGTTATTTTTTTTTTCCAATTCTGTATGGCAAAATCTGGAAGCTGCAAATTCAATTAGAAAAATGCCCCCATTCGGCAAAAAAAAAAAAAATCTCTCTTCATTTTTAAAAGATCCACATTTCCACTTCACATATTTACATAATTTTTCTCCTTTCTTTGCACACATTTATTAGAGATTATTTACAAATATATATGATGTCTAAACCTACGTACATATATATATATATATATAATCTTTGGTTTCTCTTTCTCAGATATTTGATTTTTATTCTTTAAAAATGTTTTAAAACACAAAAAATGAGTTTTTGCATTTTCTGTGTGTATGAACTCTACATACATACACACTGGGGAGAAAAATTATAACAAAATGGAAAAAGTTATCGTGAAGTCCTTTAGGGCTTCATCGGACTTTAGTAATATTTACATTCATGCGACTACGCATGCGCACAAAGTGTCGCTGAGAATTCTAAATTTAATTCTTTTTAATATCTGTTTTGAGGATATAGTCTAGCCGATTTCATTTACTTTCTTTATCTTTTTGGTTATGCTACCATCAAATTTTATTAAATATTCCCCATTTTTATACTACATGATTTGCCAAGAAAAGTGAGATACTGTATTGGACGTATTATTTACTGTAAATAATGTCGCGATCAAAGCGCTTTCTATGCATTTTCGTCCAAGTAAATTGCTTTTTTTTTTTTTATTGTCAGACCCATTACGTGAGCAACTAATGTATTTAGTGTGTTGATTTGTAAAAAAAAAAATTTAAAAAAAAGCTTCTCTCTTGATATAATCTGTTTAAATGCTGCTGTAACTTAGAGAAGGTTCCTGAATAGAATAATCACACGAAGGTTGATAATGAACGATAATACTTAGGACGAGAACAACACATATAAGATTCGCCAGCGGCGCGTAGAAGTATTCAACTGCTAGAAGTAAGTCAAATGAATTCCACAATGAATCTCCAACTGTAGGATATCTACTAACCGCTCTACGCGGTCACATATGGCACAAGGCCGAATTTAATGTGTGTTTATCC